CAGATGCTGATAACAATTACCATAATACCTCTGGAGTAATGCACTGGGCACGGGGGCTACCAGTTTGAATTATGACACAGTTTTTGCCCCCCAAGAGTTCTCAATGTGGTGAGGAAAAGACATGTGAGTAAATAATTATAAGAGTCAGTGGGACTTAACCAGGTGTAACTTTGGAAGACTAGATGAGAAGTATCTGCATATGGGAAAACCAGAAAGTCTTTGCAAAGGAGAAGAAAAAATTAGTTGAATTTTGCAAGATGTACACACACTTCATGAAGAGCAAAGGAGGTCCAGACAGAGGAAACTGTACAAGGCATGGAATTTGTGGAAAGGTATGTAGTATTTAAAATATGTAAAGGGTCACCAGCAAATAATGTTTGTTATTTGGATAAGAGGTGTCCCCCCCAAAGCTCCTGTATTAATGCAGGAATGTTGAGAAGTAAAATGACTGGATTTTGAGAGCTGTAACCTAATCAATTCAACCTAGTTTATTTATTTATTTTTTCATAGCTTTATTGAGGTAAAATTGAAGTACAATAAAATGCACATATTTGCAGTATGTAATTTGATCGGTTTTGACATGATTTGCCATGTATATAACTAATACAATCAATATAAAAAGCATTTCCATTTAAAGTAAAAACTCTTACAAACAAAATTATATCATCTTTCTCTAAACAAACACATGATTTTATAGAGATATCTGAAATTTAAGAATTTATAAATATGGAAAAGATTTTAGCTATGAATTAAGTCTTAGTAGTTGACAAAATAGGTACATATGACTAAGTGGCAATTTCATATGGTTCTAATTTTATGTAGGCTTGAGAGTATCTTTGAAAATGAATTTCTCTTTTAATCTGACAATTATACTAAAGATCAAACCCAAAGGCTCTAATTAAACATGTTAATTCTAGGGCCAGAAAAATCAGGCCCAGACTTCAATGATCAAAATGGAGAAGAAGTTAGCATTTGGCTGTCCACCACTGCGGCCTCACTCTCCTCCCCTTAAGTGAGCTCCCAATTCCACTGTAGTTACTATTATTATTTTTCTTTATAATATTTCATGACATCAAAACAGATCAAAGTCTGTTGAAAATACTAAAAAATGTATGTGATGACTGACAATGCTGGCAAACTGTTCCTACAAAAAACAATTTTAGTGGAAGATAATAGGATGTAATTCACAGCTATATTTAAATACAAAATTGGTAAAGGCATTATTACAAGAAACATTTGGATGCAGAACCATGATAAACACACTAAATAAAAGATATTTTGAAGGTGATTTGCATATTTATTAATTTTAAGAGGTTAAAACACCTGCAGCTTAGAGCATATGTGTACCTTGGTTCAAGGTATCTACTAAATGCTGCTGTTCTGCTAAATCATGGAATTCTTAAAATTTCTCTGTTTAAAAAAATTTTAATTTTTGCTGAGGTTGAATATGGGTAATTTTCTTATGGTTACCTTTCTGGTTGGTTGTTTTGTTTTTGTTTCTCATTTAAGAAAACCTTAGTACCTCAAGATTACAGACACATTTTTAAGAAGATATTTTCTTCCAAAAGTTTTTAAAGTTTTCTTTTCATATTTAAGAATTTTATACCTCTGGAACTGACTTCAAACATGGTGTAAGGGAGATATTCTATTTCATTCTTCCCCCATATGGCTAAATACTAGTCCAAGGGATTTGCTGAATAGTCCATTCTTCCCTTGCCAGATCTGGAAAGCCACCTCTATCATATATCATAGTTCCATGCCTGTGTGGATTCATTTCTGCACCTTCTATTCCATTTTATTAGTCTACTTGTAATTAGATCTTACTTTAAATAAATCTCATAGCATTTAACACATTATTTGAGACTATGAGTATAAGCATCATGTATCCTCTTTGTAACCTCTTAAGATAATAGTGACAATGACCTATTCATCTTTTTTATTTCTCGTGGTATCTAAATTAATATTTCTACATCGTAAGTTTATCTGCTAAATAAGGGATGATTTGTAGGTAAAGAGCCATAAATATTCTCTGCCCCCAATTTATTACCTTAACAGAACTAACTCTAAGCATGTAATAACTATGTTTTCTTATTTTCTGGACTCTTAATGCTCCGGTAGCTGGGGCCTTGCTGATAAGGAAGAAATTATACTTTTCAGGGTTAACTAATTCCTACAGATAGAAAACATCTCCACAGGAAAGGACAATGCTTCTAATGTGTAAATGAACCAATAGGGGCTCATCACCTCCAAGTACCTACTTTATCTAGCTTTAATATATCAAGTCAATATATTCCAGTTCTAATCTCTCTACAGCCAGGTACCAGGCAACTAAAGACAGCCCCTATGTTCCAGAGCCCACTGAAATTATTCACAGCAGAAATCCTAAATCTTCTGACCCTGCTTGACCTTGTTTTCCAGTAAAAATGACAATAAAAGTGGTTACCCATGTTCTGCTCCCTTGCCTCTTGACCAACCCTGGAGATTTCTGATGATGTGGCCTCTGTTTCTAGACATCTACTGAGTATAAACTTCTTCCTTCATGACCATCATTATGTGTCTGCATATCTTAATATACCTGGCAGTTCATTATTCTAAGTATTTGACAATTGGTAGGGTTATTCAATGAAAAACAGATACATTCATATTGTTTGACTGCTTTTTTTGCATGTCCTAAAGATCAGGCTAACATGAATTTTATTTTGTTCGTTTATGAAGAAACTGTTCTCTTAAGAACAGAAAGTTAAATTCAGAACTGTGATAATCCTTAAGCCTTATCATCTTACAGTTTGTCCTTTTCACAGATGACAAGATGAACTATTGAACTGAGCATTCTGATTCTATTAGTATTTCAAAGAACTAAGAATTTGAAGGAGTTAATCAAAACATAAGAATCATATGAATTACCTCACACAAGTTTATTAAATTGAGCTGTCCAATACATACTCTGAAATGGAATCTGAATTAATCTTTCCCAAGGATAGACAAAAGAAATAATCATTCAATTTTCTTTCCTTTCAGTAAAAATAAATAAGCCTGGTTCATGTTTGAGTACATTCAACTTAGTGAAAATTCAGACTTGGATCTATAGTACCATAATGATGAGTTCTTCTTGGATAATCTGTATACTGGACCAAGCCATTTATTTTAGGAATGTATTAAAACTCTCAAATAGTTTAAAGGGCTTTCCAGTTGTAATTTTAACCACAACACAGTGAAAAACAGCATATAGAGCCATAACACTTTGGAAGACAGAGTCAACTTTGGCACTTATTATCTAGGGGGATAACATGATTTCTCTGAGTCTCAGTTTCTCCATCTCTAAAAGAAATGATAGGACTTGGCCTATTTACCATTCAGGATCAAAAAGAGTACCTTAAAGTTCTTATTGCATTATTAAACCCATATAAGTTTATAATGCTAGTAGTCATAATCATTATCTATTATATTAAGAATTTTATCCAATAACATTTTTATAGGCTAATTGTATGAATGTTTCAATATTACTCCATCAAGAATTTCCAAAAATATCAGAGACTTCAGTAAAATTTTCTATCACAGAGAAAACTAAAGTTTTCTTGGTTTAAAAAAAATCGTTTTAGGGTAAACCATTAGTCTTTATAATTTTTAAATGATTTTTAGCATTTTTTTAAAAAATTTTTTATTGTTGGTTGTTCAAAACATTACATAGTTCTTGATGTATAGTAGAGGATAGGAAAGGCAGCAGAATACAACAAGACACTAGTATGGCAACATGTAAATCAATGGATGTGTAACTGATTTTTAGCATTTTAATAACACTTTTTACTTAGCTTGTGCTTTATAGTTTGCTGGTATAGTTTTCATACAAGGTATCTGTGTCTGAGTGTGAATGTGGATCAGGGAGGTCTTAGCTCTAGTCAACATTTCCCACACTGAGTTCCTTAGAGGACTCATCTCTCCTCATGCTTGTCAAAACAAAAACTCAGTTTCTCCATGGTGTTCTCATTCTCATCATCCCTGTCACACAGATGAAGGAACTGAGACTTTGTAAGGTTCACAATATATGCATGCATGTGTGCACATGTAGATGGGAACAGCAAAAACTGCAGAGAGGTTCCCCTGTTCACTCATTTTCTACAGTGGCCTTATCAGGTAGGAACTATCATTATTCTTACAAAGAAACTTAAGAACAGAGACTAAGTAATCAGCTCAAGGTTGCTCAGCAATCCCTTGGCAGAGCCTGGATGCAGATCAGAAAGTTTGCTACATTGTGCATGCATTAATCTTAGAAACAAAGACTGAAGAAAAAAACTTGCAAAAAATATAAAGTATTATTTTTAGGTTTAGAAATAAAACCAAATGATACATTGTTTGAAGACAAAGACATGTTAAAGTTTTAAAGAAATCAAGGGAATTGTTAGAAAAACAAACTAGGATGCCCCAAAAAGGAAAGGAATTTAAGAAGGGCTTCTAGGAACATCATGGTGTGGATGCTGTTTTAGGTTTTACACTGGGCAATAATATGTCACCAGGGCTCATTTTATTACTATGAAAAATAACCTACATGTAGGTCACAACTTACACTGTCTGCATCAAATACCTTATGATAAAAAATAAATTATTAGTTAATAAGATATCTAAAACCCTTAACTTATCCTGGATTTATGACATATGTAAATTGAAAAAAATCACTCCTCTATTCCCAGAGTGGAGCAAATTCAATAAAGAATGGCAAATGGCATGAGCACCATCACTTCCTCCCATGGCAGATAGACAGTGCTTATCAACATGACAGCCTTCCTCCCACATCTGGCCACTGTTTCAGAACCCTTTCCATACCAGACTTCAAAAATTCATGACTGATAGTGAACAGGTGGCTGGCAATGCCACTTCAGTTTGGTTGGAGGTGGCACCCTCATTACCACTGTGCTCAGGGATCCCTAGGGTTGAGGCAACTAGGAAACTCTGGAATCTCCCAGCTGTTTGCACGGGTGCCTTTTTTCAAACACACAGTTAGTTACCTGTTAAGTTTGAAGCATCAGTTGGACTCAGTTGTAACCAATGGCGGGCATCAGAGTCAACCACAACATCCGTGGGAGTGTTCAGTTCTGGGTCTTCCTCACAAGTCTGCCATGGGCTCATAGACAGCTCTGCCTCATTGTTATAGCCCAGAGCTGTGTCACTGCTGGTACTATCATCTTGCAAAATAGAAGAATCAAAGTTTGAGAAAACAGCTAGCTGAAGATCAGAATACTCACAATTGCCAATAATGCAAGTAACTAAACACTTCAACAGCTGACACAGCAGGAATTGCTCAGGGGCTTGGGCAGAACCTGCAGAACTTGACTGGGGTTCAGATGGGTGTCCATATGAAGCTCTAGGTCAACAAATTAAATCTTCCAAAGATAGAGCACTCATATAGATACTATGAACTCTGCTATATATCATCCAAGTGGCGTTTTTTTCAAATTGTCTTTGCTCAGTTTTCTTATACACCCCCAAAATTATGCCAAGTCCTAAAGTTTTCTACCAAGACTTATTCACCTACAAAATGAAGGTGAGTGAAAGAAGATGTTGATAACTGATTATACCACAAATGCAAGTTTATTTTGCTAAACATGTACATACTTCAAACTTGATGTTTACACTAAACAGGGTGAATCATCTAGAGCCTTTTGGGAATGAATTATCTCACTGCAACAGATTTTCTACTATAGAAACTCTCTCCTTTAAATACTAAAGTTATTAGTATTTAATAACTAATTAAATCATAGTTATACTGACTTATGAAGACTTACAGGGCTATTTATTTAATCTGACACAAAACAAATCTAAATAGTCTTCCTCCTCAAAGTCTCCTGACCACTTCCTAACAATTTTATGTGTCTACCCTTCCTTCTGGAAGCTCTTTGTATCTTCTGCTGACAGTTCCCCAACCTTATTGCTTCTAATCTGCTGTTTACTTGTAAAGAATTGAAAGTTGTCTCAGTAATCATATGACCAAGTTGTAAGGTCTCAAACTTCATCTTCCACAAAACTTTAAGCCCAAAGAGAGAAGGTAGAGCATAAGATGAGCTCCTCTGCACCCCATCAAGAGCCACTCTGGGTGTGTAGGAGTTGTTGAGGAGGCTATATTTTTTTTAGTATATGATAATATATTTCAGAATTCCAATCAAAATTTTATTTTAAAGTACTTAGGCCACTAACATCAATGTACTTCTGCACCTTTGTGTTCTTAGCCTTCTGGGGAAGGTAATTTTTCTTCTGGATACATCTGCTCACTCAAGCTCTCAGTCCCTCTGTGACTCTCATCTTGAGAAAGGCACAGAGTTGGAAAGAAAGGGCACTCAGGTATAGGCAAATGACTAGAGGTTTTTAATTAACTGGATTAGCATTATATCATTTTGGGAAAAAGAATATTCCATTTCACAACCATGTCTCTTCAACTGATAAGATACCACTTGAATTAGAAAGTAAAAAGAAAAGAAAACACATCAACTCTGCAGTAGATGAAAGCAGACTACATTTCCTGGAACTTACTCTTCTGCCTTTCCCTACATTTTCCTTGTGTCTGCTGCAGATCATCCTTCAAGTCCAATTCAGCAGGGCTACTGCTTCTTCGAACTAAGATCTTCAGACAAAAAGAAATATTGCAATTATTATAGGAAAGCTAAAATTTGTAAGACTATGTAAAGTTCCTACTCCACATTTATAAAGAAAAAGAAACAATAATAGCAACAAAACATTGAATGATATTTTCCATTTGAAAGATGTGTGTTCAACAATTATATATTACTGAATTATATATTATTCAAGACCTGAAACTTTAATTTCTATCCTCTACTTTGTCAACTGACATCCAATTAAAATGGATCTACTAAGAAGGGATGCCAAATTATATGGAAGAAATTTATTTTAAAGTCCTATTTGTTCCTCTGGTCAAGCACACATACACAGTGAACACAATTCTCCAGAAGGCCTAACCTACCCACAAATGATGAGTATGCAGGCAGGTAAAGTACAAACTCCTCCCAGATTACAAAAGATCCACTTCGTGCCCTTCTAGTTAAAAGTGCCACAGACATTCCTGAGCACTGCTTAAACACTGAACCTTATGTGAAATACGGAGCACTAAAAAATCATGAGGCAATCTGCGTCCTCTAAAATCTGATAATTTGCTTGGACAGACAAAACATACACAAATTACACAAAATAACTACAATGTTCATAAGCAAAATATGCAAATAAATTCTCTCTGATAATTATGCAAAATAAAGTGTTACCTTAATTGGCTGACAGTTACAGGACAGCTGTTCAAGAAGGCAATAGACAGGAAGTGGTAGAGGGAAGGCAGGAGGGGATTCAAGGCAGGAAGCACGGAGTGGTAATCAGCAAGTTCTATGTGCAGGAAAAGAAGCTGATTATAGCAGGCCATGCAGGGAAGCCACATGAAGAAGGAAACAGGTAAGAAGAAAAGCAGACCTTCTAAAAGAGGCAGCTGCCAGTGGGCCTTAACATGAGGTTTTTAGACTTTTGGCCTAATAGTAATAAAATGAACTACTGTACATTCTAGATAATAGCTCACTGTGATTAAAATCCTTACTGGAAAGACAAGTAGTTATCTGTGGAATAGATTAGAATGAAGAAGAAAATTGCTATAGAATGGTTATGATGATTCAGGAATGAGGGGATAAGGTTTCTGATAGTGGAAAAGGAGAAGAAAATAGAAATAAAAATGCTGCAGGATGACAGGTTAGAGCTTATGATCAAGTATATATAGGAGTGGAAGAAAATTAAATTACAAAAGGGCAGAGAGCTAGGGGACAGTGAGAAAGACGGTGACAAATGGTGAGAGGGAGGGAAATGTAAAGAAAGGAAAGGAAGAAGGAAGGGAAGAACTTGAGAAAGTTTCAGACATTTTAGTTTTTATCTTTGTGCTGAATATTCAAAGAGAATATCTTATAAGTAGGGACCAAAAATCCAGCATTGGTGAGATAGAGAATTGAGCCAGGAATAAAGATGTAAATTTAAGGGTCTCCACTGCAGAGGGTATTTGGGGCGTGGGGGGAGGACAAACAATCTGGGATTTAATTAACCAATTAAAGGGATAGATATTAAATAAGCAAACAAATTTTTAAAAGGGGACCAAGAAGTATAATGAAAAGACAGAATGATTACTAAACTAAAAGGATATAGTCAAATGAAATACTTAGGAAGATTAACATTACCTGAAAAGAAAGTATTACAGTACTACACACACTAAGTAGACAGGACAGCTCCTTAACTGCAAAGCAGATTGTGAACTTTTTTGCTTCGGACTGCATGAAAGAAAAACACCCCACAACTTTAGAACTTTGGTTGCAATTTAGGGTTCACAGGAAGTAAACCTCCAAGATATCCATGTGCTCTCTCAAAAGTGACCATAAAACAGGGTACTGAAATGGCTCTATTGTGAGGGCAAATCCAATATTACCTTTGCCAGTGGCAAAAGAACCAAGACTCCAGGATCAAAATAGCACTCCCTGACTCATAGAAGACTCAAATGCTAACACTGTCCTGGTGAACATTCATCTATTTAGATTTCTGGGTATTCTTCAGATTAAAATCAGTCAGCTACTCAAAATCAAAAAATCACCAAGCAGCAAAGGAAATAAATCACTAGGCCTAAGAGTCTTAAAATCAACAACTATCATATTTCAGATAATCAGATAAAGATTTTAGAATTACAATTTGTGAATACTTTAAAGGAATAAAAGATGGGAATCATAAAAATGATGAAGCAATAAGAGATTATGAGAAATTATAAGATATACTTGAAAAGAATCAACTTAAACTTTGAAACAAAATATGTACTTGCTGTGCTAAAAAAACTCATTGGAAATATTAAAGAGTAGACTAAAGAGAGTTATTGAACCAATGAAAGACAGAGCTAATGAAATGATCAGAATGTACCCAGAGGACCAAAGAGAACGGAAAATATGAAGCTTAAAAGCTTAAGAAACATGGAAGAAAGAATGAGAAATTCTAATATATCTATCCATAATTGTAGAAAAGAGAAGAAAGAATGAAAAAGTGGCCATATTTGAAAAAATGATTATCAAGAATGTTCCCAAATGACAGAAGACAAGTATGCAGAAATGAGTGGTGCACAGCACATACCAAAAAGGACAACTGTATAAACCCAAAGAAACCCATACCTAAAAATATACTATAGGGAAATTGAAGGATAAGGACAAAGAATAGCAAGAAACAAAAACTAGAGAGGATGGATAGAAGACTTCTTACTAACAACAATGAAAAGACAAAATACAACAGAAACACAGCATCCTCGAGAAAAGAAGGGGGCTAAGGAAATGAGAGAAGAATAGTAATTAAAATAGTAATTAAAACAACCAAAAAATGAAGATAAATAACAAAACGAAGGTTTACACACCCACGAAACAGCATATCAGAGAGAGGTAGTATTTCAACTCAATCAATGAAAATGGATTCACTAAATTGAGACCTGGGACAAACAATTATTATGAGGGAAAAAATGAAATTGGGTCCCTATCTTTATTCATGTACAAGGATCAGTTCTTGGTGGGTGAAACTCTTAAATATATAGAGCAAAACTCTTATTGAAAACACTTATTGAATAAACATAAGGTAGTATTTGTTTTCCATTGTATAGCTGAGATTTTTACAAACTTGATAAAATCATATCCATAAAAATGATGATAGAGAACATTAAAATGAAGGATTTCTGTTCATCAAAAGGTATCACCGAGAGAATGGAAATATAAGCCACACATTACAAGAAGATATTTACTATACACATAACCAAAACCGGATCAATATCCAGATACAAATAAGAGAAAAAAAGACAATAAGTGACAAAGTAGGCACTGCACAGATGAAACACAAATGACCAATCAACATGGAAAGATTTCAAACCTTATTGGTAACCTAGAAATGCAAATATCAGATGTTATTTTCACCCATTTGGGACTTATAAAAATTTTTGAATTTGTAACTAGAAAAGTTTTGGCAAAATTGTGAATGGGAATTCTATACATTGATCACAGAAATATAAGTGGTAAAACCACATTGGGAGTTAGGTCTTATCTTATATAGAACATTATTTTATTGTATAATTTATTAATTCCACTCCTAGATGGTCATCCTAGTGAAAACTTTAAACATGTAGATCTTGAGACACATACAAAAATGTAAACAGTGGCAGTTTTCCCTAAAAACAACAGCTGGAAACAATCTAAATGCCCATCAACAAAAGAATAGAAAAATATATGATGGAATATTCATATGCCAGAGAAAATTTGATGAATTATTGCTATTTGCCAGAATATGAATAAATCACTGAAACATACAATGAGTGAACAAGGCAACTGTACTACTAATGAACACTTTACAAAAACTTTCAAAAATAAGGAAAACTGAAGAATATATATCATTTGAAGATACATATATGGCGAAACCATAGAACAAAATAAGGAACTAATACACATAAAGCCAGAGTAATGCCACTCTCTCGGAGAGGTAGCAGGAAGAGGGGACAAAGAGGAAACCAAAGCAATAACACAAGAAACTGCAGTTCTTAAATGGGGTGATGGGTTTGCGGGTATGTATTTCATTGTTGAAAAACAGAATATTTATAGGTAAGCTGGTATATGCCCTTTCTAAGCATAAAGAAACAAGGAATTTAACAATGATTATTTTCTAAACAGGAAGGAATATGAAGGCCTTCCCTCTTAATTTTGTACACTTCTGTGACATTTGAGTTTTGTATAAACATATACTACATTTAAAAAAATGAACAGGGTCATCTGTGTAAATGAGTTATAGGATGTTTAAATTTTCTTCTTTATACATTGCATTTGTTTATATTTGAATAAAGGCTATATGGGTGGCTTTCCCTGCAAAAAGGAACTGTAACTGACCCTTGTGAATATTTACTTAACTAGTAACTCAGGTCAGATGGTGGCTACTACCCAAAACAACGTCAAGAAGGGGTATCTGAAATATAAGTTCAACAGGCAAATTTGTCTGCTTAAAAATATATAATGCCACATACAGACCAGGCAATAAATTCCATTTTGTGTTCATTTTATTTCACCATTTTTGCACCATGACTATAATTTTACTTAAGAAAACAAGCAAAACCTGAAATGATTTAAAGGTCATTTTGGCTGATAGTCCATCTAAATGGGAAAAATAATTTAAATATCACCATCACCAATAAATTCATTTATTATGCAATAATTTGGTTTTTTTAAATGACAAACTGATATGCTTTTAAAAATCTTACTGTTATTCCTTCATGTTCTCTCTTCACATGTCCTTTATTCTCCTGAATGGCCCTGAGTTCTGAAGAACTCAAATTCTGTGCATTTTCTACCTTTTGACCTAGAGATTTGGTGGGGGAAGAAAAATCAACAGAAGGAATGTTTCAGAAGGAAAATTAGAAAAACAATTTTTCCATATAAATAACTATCAAAGTACCTATTTAGAATTGGAACTCTATATAATGCTGGCAGATATATAACAGGTACAACCACTTTGGAAAATAGGTATTATCTTGTAGAGAAAAACATTTTTACTGTAAATTCATTTATTCTATTTCTAGATATGCAATCTACCCTAAGATATATAAAAGCATGAATTATGGGTCTGACAAACTGGCAGCATAAAATGTAGTATATATTGATACAAAACTCAAATGTCACAGAAGTGTACAAAATTAAAAGGGAAGGCCTTCATATTCCTTCCTACTTAGAAAATAACCATTGTTAAATTCCTTGTTTCTTTATGCTTAAAAAGGGCATATACCAGCTTACCTATAAATATTCTGTTTTTCAACAATGAAATACATACCCATACCCACACTGACAAGCCCACATTAAAGACTTGGTCTCTGGCCCACAGAAGGCCTTGACTACAGAAGGCTCAATGCTGTTCACTGTGGCCAATGGCTCCACTTAGTCATTCCATTAGCACAGGAAACCTTAGGAAAGGTATCTCAAAGAAAAGCTGCCTGAGTTGCCAACAGGTAAGCCAACAGGAAGTAGAGAGCAGTAAATTGGCTCTTTAGGACTTAAAATGAAGACTGACAAGAGAAAGCAGAAAGTTTCAGTAATAAGAAAAGGAATATCACCACAAATCCCATAAACATTTAAAAAGGCCACAAGAAGATTTTATAAATAATCTGAGGCCAAGAAATATGAAAATAAATATGAACTGAACAAATTTTCAGAAAAACATAATTTATCAAAATCAAAACAAGGAAAATTTGAATAGCCCTATAATTCTTAAAAATGGTTAATTTTTAAGTTCTTTAATTGGTAAAAAGTATATATAGTTATCAATTATAACATGATGTTTTAAAATATGCATACAATGTGGGATGGCTAAATTGAGCTAATTAACATATACATTACCTCACATACTTCTTTGTGTGCATGTGAGAGAGTACTTAAAAATCTACTCTCTCAGCAAATTTTTAAGAATACTATACACTGTATTACAATTATACTATAATTGCCATATTGTACAACAGATCTTTTAAACTTATTCCTTCTCCCTTAAGTGAAATTTTAAAAAAATATGAATAATATTTTAAACCCTTCTTGTGAGAAAACTCCAGGAAACTGACAGATTCCCCACATATTTAAGGAAAACAGTGATAATCTTTTCTTCCCCCTTTCAATGGTGAAGATCAAACCCAGGACTTTGGGCATGCTAGGCAAACATTGTGCTTCTGAGCTATATCCCCAGCCCTAATAATAATAATTTTACACAAATCTTTAAAAGAGTATAAAATCTTTCAGACAATAGATTTCCTCGGATTATTTTTTACTACATTTTCTTATTTCAAGAGGATTTCTAAGAGGGAACACTTCTCTACACGTTTTATGAGACTAGCATATACTTGATATTAAGAGATATAACTTATTAATAAACAAGGTAGATTTGTTTCTTAATTAATTCATGACACTAAATTGGAATGATAAGTCTGTTGATACTTTATAAAACTTTAAACACGTGTTTTCACTGTAAAGTATACTATTAACTGTTAATGGGTTGAATCACCTATCTCTCTGTTTTCTCTACCCTACTGCTGCTGAAAGTTGTTGGCAAAACCATGTGGACAAATGCTACTGCAAGTTATTTTCAACCTCAGCAGTGTTTGGAAGTTGCTAGTAAACTTTTACACAAGTCTGGTCAGCTTTCCATTCTCATTTTCAACTTCCACAGCTCCTCTCACAGCCCATTCCTCATTTCCCCTCATGCTGCCCCCCTGCTTTCTACATAATGTGCTATTCCTTTTGCTCTTGTCTAGGAATATTTTCTGCCTCCTTCTTACTCTAGTCATTTGCCAAACTTGATATATTTTAAATAAATATATTAAACAATGAAAACATTTCATTGGTAGAAACCACATCCTTGTACTCAAAAAGTAAATTCCCTCAAAATATATTCAGAAGAAATGTAGAAAGGAATACTCTCTGCAGTTCCCCACCTCCAACCAGAATCTACATTCTGAATCAATAACTGAAGAAACCGCACCTTGAGAAGAATCTGAGCACAGTGGCTCAGTGATGTCAGATGTGCTGCTGCTCCGGAGGACCTGTTGCTGTCCCACCATGAGATGACCAGACTCAGCTACAGGTGCATTTTCTGACTGTTGACACTCCTCCACTTCTGTGAGCATTAACACAAAAAATGAAGTGTTGTAGCTTAAGATTTTTAAAAATATTTTCACCATTTAAAAAAACAGATTTAAAGAATTAAGTTTTATTAATTTTAAGAATTAATACTTTTCCACAAAACCTTTGCAGTAAGATAATTTGTATTTATATCATCAAGTTTCCTATCCTTGTTAACACTAATATTCCACTCCAATAATATATTTTCCTTTTAAGTTCTACTCAGCTTTTTATTTTTAAATCAAAGTAAAGGGTGAGAGGGTGGTGAAAGCCACAAAAATGATTGAGAGCTGTAAGTCACTTGAAATTTCAGGGGCAGAAAGTAAAAAAAGATCCAGTAACTTGGGAGATGCACAGAGAGGACAGTTTATATTTGAGGACAGTAGAAAGTCACACACACACACACACACACACACACACACACACACACACTAAAGGAAGATGAAAGAAAACAAGAATTTCAACTGTTATTCCTTTTACCAGAAAAGTGCACAACTGACCAAAATAAAACTCTGTTTAATGGTGCATATCGCTAATGGACAAAAAGATCTCTTGGTATATTTATAGACCTAATACACATATGACTATAATAAAAAAATAACTGAGTACTGATTCCTGGATAATCTCCACTAGGATTATTACTAACTATTTTGCCCTGGAGAATGAGTTTCCTCTTAGCTCATTTCTAAAATGCATAATTCATTTTAATCTCTAAAGGCCACCCAAGGCATTGGGATAACCATTCTACCTTCTCTCTCTAGAGTTAGGGCTTTGAGGTTGTATCATCTTTTTTCTAGGTCATTTTATTTGCCTTCTAACTAGTCACTATCCCCTTCTTTTTGCCACTCTCGTATGTGTGCTCCAGAGAGGTGCCTCTAAAACAAAGATCTGTCTATACCACTCCTCTTAAAACCCTGCGAGGCCTTCTATCATCAGGGGGTCAAATCTGTGCTTGCTGGGGTAAACAGAGTCTTCTAGATTATATTATCCCACATAATGACCCCCCCCACTCCCCACAAAGAACTGGTAATTTCTTTATTCTCAGCAATAGGACCAACTTGGCACCTTCTGCTCTCTTCCTCCTGCTATTCACTCCCTATGTTAACCCAGCCATGTTCCTTTGCCCCTCCTGTCTATGCTACTATGGGCACATCCCCCTATAGGTCTTGCTTTGTGGCCAGGCATGTAAGATCCACCGCTCTGTTCCTTAGCACACTCTATATTCACTGATGTAGTTATAAAACTTTACATCCACATAATCATGACACCATATTTTCCAAATTTTTTAATCAGCTAAAGTTTCACTGCTACTAAGAAAAGACTGATTAAAATTCAGTATGTATTATCTTACCTGGCTGTGTCACCCAGTTCCTCACTAGAAATGGAGGCTCACTGGCAGTGAGCCTCCCTCTGTATAGCCCTTTCTATACTCCAAGCCATAAGTCAAAGTGATGGCTCACCTCAACCAAGAAATGGTATACATGATGATTCTAAGTTTAACATGCAGGAATTCTACAAAGGGTCGCTGCTTTATTTTTTCTATCCAAATGAAAATTCCATTTACTATTATATTGATACAATTACAAGACTTCAAAACTATGAAATTGGTGGGATCCTTCCTTTAAGATTCAAAGTTCTACACTACAATCTAAATTTGGATGCTGATCAGAAAGTGAGCTTGGAGTGTAAGAAAACATAGGCTAAGGTTCCAGGAGGAGACAGACTCATTAAAGTCTCGTTTTCCCAGATTTTCTTTACCTTCATCTTAAGTAGCCAAGCACTGATCATTTTTTCCATGGAGAAGCACAGAGCATATGTGCGATTTTGTTTTTAAAAAATAGCTACACATCCTAAAGCACAAATCTCCTTCTAGTGTCTTCAGCGTTAGACAATCAAAAACATATGACACCATGAGCCAGCCCTTCATCTATCTTCTTTCATTGTTTATTCTAATTATGCAAGATGCAGAAACCTTGTAAGAAGAGAATATATTTGTTAATGAACATTCTTTTAAATCTAACATCAGTAGAGGGCGCCCAAGAGCTTCCTAACTTTCTAAAATATAATTGGCCAGTGCCCATTTTGTAGATAGTGGGAAGAACAGTGGGTTTTATTCTCTTAATCTGATGCCAAAATTGGTAGATGTTGCTTTCTGGAGTATGAGCAGAAGCAAATAAAAGCCGAGCCAACACTGGCAGCTTCCTTCTAAAGATAAAGAACACCGCCATCTGGTGGGATACAATACAGCCACAGCACCATCCCTTCCAAATTAGAGTGCCCCCACTGGTCCTCAACATAGCAGACGGAGGAAGCGCCTGCCACCACCAGCTGGTCTGTCTTCCCAACAGGCTGGCCTAATGCAGCTTTTAAAGCTTTGTTTTTGCAAAACTGTCAGGAGAGATTTCTCAAATGGAGGAAGCCCAAGCTATAGAAATAACTGGGCAGGAGTATCAGTGATTGAAGTGGAAGAAAGGTGACAGCCACAATGCCAAGTGCACTTGTTGTATTGTCAGAGCTCTGAGCTACTCCTGTAGTTGACTATCATGAGACAGGGTATGGGAAATTTTCAATTATTCTTATCCCACAGTTTAAACCCAATTGCCTGTTTTGTAAGTATACATCATTTCTTGGGCTTTTTTTCATTCTTTGCACTAAGTATGCACTCAATCCATGCTTTCTAATATATGGAAACATGTTCATGAGGCCTTTCTTTTTTAACAGATCTTGGGCTCCCTCTGCTGGTATTTCATTTGTTAAGAAAGGGCAATTTGTGCTAAAGTTGCTCCCATCCTAGTGTCAGCTGTAGCAGTCATTCTTTTATAACAAATGCAGGTCATTTTAACACTGATAAGAAAATATCAAGATACAGAATTATGTAATATTCAAAGTTGAAAAATAGTGATCCACAATATAGAAAAATTACCTGATAAATCTTAGCTCTAATGCATCTTCTGTTTTGAATGTCACATAATAATTGTTTTGAATCACTTCAAAGAACTAAATTCTGGCTCAATTCACCAATTCATTTACTGTCTCAAAAGCCTAGTTAATCCCAATAACCCAAATTTTAAAAGCACAAACTTTCTTGTCTCTTGATGGTATAAATTACTCAATATTAAATACTTTGCTTCCTAAAGCTTTACTCAAAACATCAAAAAATGATCAATAAAGGATTACTTAATTTTTTCCCACTGAGAAAAAGAATCATCAGGATTTAATGAAACCAAATGTATAAGCTCTTAATTAACTTTTATTTTTTCCAGATATCTGAATATTTTCAAAGTAATTTGAAAGTTAAGACTTTCTTAATCAATCTTATTTAATGGAATGAGGCTCATGTTTTACTAATCAAAGTTCTGGGTTCCAATTACCCTTATACAAGGCTGTTTAAGTAAAATGAAGAGCATAATTTCCTAGTTTTAAAAAAATTGTACATGATACCAACTTAAACTTATAAAAAGCACAGTAGATATATATTCACTCAACATTGAGGCTTCTCACAAGATCAAGCTTTCCAAAAGTGAGTCAGCCCCGGTCCTAACAGACAATGAGCATTTCCCCAGAGCCTACCAACAAGATGCAGAAGCAGCTAAGTGAGGCTTCCCATTAGGTCCCTTAAGTCTTTTTAGAATAAGGGAAGATGGCTGATCCTCTAATTACTACAATTATAATATTCCCCAAAGAAAAATAAAATCTACCATCTGCACAGCCTGTGAATGCAACAGACTGATAAATGACCCAACATAAAAAGCAGATTAAATGGCAAAACAGCTACAAGAAACTTCCCACAAAGGAAAAAGTGTGTGTGTGTGTGTGTGTGTGTGTGTGCGTGTGTGTGGGCGCGCGCACGCTCGTGTGTTTAATGTAGCTATTCAGCAATTCATATTAATAAAAACAGGTTGGTTGTGACTCTTCCAAAGAACAAACACCACATCTTTCCCCCTCAAAGACAAATAACTCTACCAAAATTATGTCACCACCAAATAGAGTCCCCAAAGGATCAGAGTAAATGTAATTATGGTTGAAGGTAATTCTCTATTGCTTATGTTACTAAAACAATTTTTGTGAGTTGACCGGTCACACAGATTAAAAATAAAAACAAGAAATATTACCTTACGTGAAAACAAAAGCAGTAATCATTGATATGGTAAGGAATTCAAGATCAGAAAATAAATTATAAGTGTCTGAATATTATCTAGCAATAGTTTATCAGGATATGCCCATGTGCCAACCAGTAGAGGACGTATACTCTAAGACTGAGGACTGATATACACTGCTCTTGGCCCCATCTCCTAACAGGACAATCACAAAGAACAACAGCATCATTTTAAGTGATAAAGAACAACTGGCATCAGACTGAAAGAAGGAGCTTGATACTGTAGTTGCCAGATCAAAGAATAGCAAATTGTTCTCAAAAGTCACTACGCCCTAAGTCCCTTCACTCTATGTGCTATAAAACCAGGATGGCAAAAGCACAATAATGAAGACCCAGACCAGTCTTCTTCATTTCACCCCAAATAAGTGTTTTACCCTTAGCACTATTGATATTTGAGGCCTGATAGTTCTTCATACTGGGGCCAGTCTGTATATTGTAGGTAGTTTAGCAGTGTCCCTGACTTCTACCCACCAGGTGCCAGTTGAGAATCACTGCTCTAAATATTGAACTTCTGTTGGAACTGTTTATACAGGAACCAAGAATCTGAGTAAAATAAAATGTCAGACTGAATGAGTACAAAAGATTCTACAATGAAATTACTAACAGGAAGAGATTTTTGTGAAAACATTACACACAAAATAAAACTAGTAAAAAATTAAAGTGAACCAATATGAAAATTAAAGAAACTGTAAAATAAAACTTTTCACCACAAAAAAACTTCTTTGAGTAAGTACAAGCCAAATAGGAAACAAATTTGTTTAAAGTATCTTTTTAATCACCTCTAAACAGTAATATTTTCTGGAAAAACCAAATAAACAGTTAAAAGTTATCAGTAAGTT